TTGCTATGGCTTTTGCAGTGAACACATTGTCACCAGTGATCATCTTGATGTTCACACCAGCATTTTGGCAAGCTTCCACTGCTTTCTTCACGCCTGGCCGACATGGATCTTTTAGGCCAACAAAGCCCAAAAGAATGAAAGAGTTGTCTGGAACATTTCCATGCATATGTTCATTATCCTCCTGCTCAGCTTTTGGCACTTGCTTGTGTGCGAATGCGATACATCTCAGGCTGCTGGCAGCCATTCCTTCAATTATCCTGTCACATTCTTCCTTATCTGATTCCTCTAGAGGTTTTACGTTCCCTTCTAGATCATAGTAATGGGAGCACATTCTTGAAATCATTTCAGCAGCACCTTTCCAATGTGCATGAATTGTGCCATCACTGATGTTCTTGATCAGGACACCGCTCTTCTTTTTCTCTGAATTGAAAGCTTCCACATGTAGAATGTTGAAATTTCTTTTGATTTGATCCATCTCCATGTTCAGTTCCATAACAGCCCATGAAAGAATAGCTTTTTCAGTAGGGCTGCCTGAGAACTCAAAGCTGGAAGATGGATCGGAGGACTTGAAAACACTACCAGTAGTGTTTAATCCAACCCCTTGATGGAATAGTTCATGAACTTTTGCTGAAATTGATGTATGACTTTCTGCCTTCACGTGTTGTTTGCCTAAGAAAAACTTTGTCACGGTCATCTTATTTAATGTAAGAGTGCCTGTTTTGTCTGTACAGATGGTGGTGGCAGATCCCATAGTCTCACATGCGGAGAGCTTCCTAACCATTGCCTGATCAACCATCATTCTCTTCATGGAATAAGCCAGAGTAAGTGTAACAGCTAAAGGCAAGCCTTCAGGAATCGCGACAACAACAATGGTAACAGCAGCAGCAACAATTCCCACCACAGCATTGATCACATCATCAGATGATGTCTTGCTCCCGTTGAATTCTTTGTTCCCATTCTCATCTTTTGTGGTCCCAGTAAAGTATCTAACCAATAGGACAACAAGAACTAAGAAAGCAACTAGCAACCCAACTTTACCAATAGATGTAGTAAGCTTGTTGAGTCGTTCTTGGAGAGGGGTTTGCTCATTAGAATCACTGCTGATTTGGCTCATCATTTCACCCCAGGTCGTGTTCATTCCAACCGATGTCACAAGCATCATGCCATAGCCATCGACAACCTTCGTGCCAGATATCAAGAATGGATTTCGGGTAAGGTTAATCTCTACGTGATCACTTTCTCCAGTCATGCTAGATTCATCCACCTGTAAAGAATGACCTTCTACCAAAATCCCATCAGCAGGGACTTGATCTCCAATTTTCAAGCAAATGACATCTCCAACAACAATTTCAAAAATCGATATCTGTTGGCGCCTCCTCTTTCTAACAGCTTCAACTGGAATATTTTTGCTCACTTTGGAAAGCTTATCAAACTGTCTGTTTTGTCTGAAATTACTAATAGACGAAACAGCGATGACAAGAAACACAGCGACATAAATACTCCCTCCATCATACCATCCTTCTTTCAGTCCATGCTCCTTAATTCCAAATCCAAGAGACAGAGCAGCACAGAGCAAAAGTATAATGATAGTAGGATCTTTGAATGATTCCCAAACAAAGATGAAGAAACTTTTACTAGGTGGCTTACGATACATGTTGCTTCCAAAAGCCTCATGTCTACATGCAACATCTTCTTGATCTCCGCTTACACCATCAGTTGTATCACTTTTGAGAGAAGCAGCAACACCTTGTACACCTCCAAGGTTAGCAAGTTCGTCAATGTTTTTATCCTTGACAAGCTTAGCTAGACTTGAGTGATCAATGCCTGAGAAAAAAGGGTGGTCTTGAACTACATCAATCGCGATTGTATCAGTCGATACACGAAGTGCTTTTTTTGGATTGTAGGCAGCTCCATATAGTGCTTTAAGTGCTGGTCTTAATTTTAAAAGCTCTGGAACAATAGATTGTAGCAAAAGCTAAGTGCCATCTTTTTTTGCTGGAGAAATCAACTTCAGTTGGCAAATCAAGTGTAATGTTCATGCAGAGATAATGCAAGTTTGCTTGAAACATCATGGACAAGTCTTTCTTTGACTATGTAAAGGTGGAAAATGCGAGGTTAATGAAATTAATGTTTGTAGTATGTTTGGCGATCGACGAAACTTAACTAGTTCTGGATTGAGACGTAGTTAATTGATATACGAGAAAAAAGATTCAATTGTGTTTGGAATTGGATGAACAAATTTGTTTCATAGAAGTTCCTTTTATAGTGAAGCTAAAGTATGCCCCGCCCGCGTAAGAAGTTATAACTTGAATTTATTGACTTTAATTATGTTTCCATTGGAGGTGATTTATTTTTTTGTAATGTCCAAGCATTTCCAGCTTACTTCCACTCTATTTGGATTAATTTATTTTTGGGTAAAGTCACAAATAGTTAACTTTTTAGTCTTTGTAAATAGTTATTGTTCTGAAGTTTCAAATTTCACATGTAAAGTTCCAGGATATTGTTATGAAGTTTCACTTGTCGAATTTGAAAAAAATGATTATTTTTCTTAGAGATGAGGTCGAAAAAATGGCTAGTGAGCACTATTTCGTTGTTTTTTGCGGGGAACATGATCATCTTAAGGGTGTACAATAATAAAAACATATCTATGAGAAAGTGTTTATCGTTTTTCACTTTGAAAACAAAAGAATACCTTTTTTCAAAGATGCAACAAAACTTTGAAATAAAAAGTGGGACCACAATTTTAAAGCATGGGGACTAGTTAGCAACTAAAGTAGAAGTATACAAGCTTTGTATTCAAATAAATCGAGCTTTTTTCTCATATATTGAACTATCAAACATACCTAATCTTTCCGACAAATTTGAAATCCAAACCTGGTCGGTCTAGTTTAATAGCAGATTTATAATTGTAACTCATCATTTACTATATAAATAAAAGAAAAAAAAAGTCTGATATACTCATTAACTTTGTCATTTAAAACTGATATACGATTCGTTATCAAAGTGACTCAAAATTTGAATGAACACTCATCTGCTCTCTATCCTCGCCTTGGTCTTAATTGTGTCGTATTAAACTTGCTAGAATTATCATTTCATGTTTTCTACTAAATTATTTCTATCCATCTATAGAGAAATTCACTACTCAATAAATTTAATAGATCAAATTCATTACTTTCTAAATATGGAACATAAATTTATATTAAAAAATTTAGTAAACTTGTTATTATAAATAATAAATATAAATACATAATTTCAAAAATTTATACTGAAATTTTTTAAAGATTGAACCGACAAAATTTATATCATGAATTCGTCCCTATACAAATCCCAAAGAAATGTGAAAATGAGTTGTATTTTAGAATCTATAAAAGAGGAGAAATACAAAAGAAATCTAAAAGTAAGAACAATAATTTCAGATTTGAATTAATAATTACTACTGTGAGTTTCCAGGAATTTCATTGCACTAAAACAACATTATCTGAATATGTTCTTTGCGTGTTAACAACTTTGCTTTTACAGGTTCAACATAAATACGTACACATACTTTATATTATCTACTGATCTAAGTATATACCTCGAATTTTCTACTGTTTGTACATATTATTTATGTTTGATACAGAGGAAAATATTTTTTCATGTTTAGTTAGATCTATTTTTCGCGAAAACAAGTTTCTTAAAAATCAAGAAAACTTACATAAATCTCAGTGTTAAGAGTTAATTACATTATTTCCCTACTCTTTTTCAAATTACAAAAATTTCTTAAAATTTATGGATTTCGGATACATCACTAGACTTCCGGATATATCAGCAGACATCCGGATACATAGTGAGAGATGTATCCGAGAGGGGAGGGATGTATCAGATAGGGGATAGGACATTCCAATGGACTTCCGGATACATCAATAGACATCCGGTTACATAAGTGAGGGATGTATCCGAGAGGGAAGAGATGTATCAGCAAGAGGAGAGTGATGTATCCGAGAGGGGATTTTTGAAATATTTTTAAATAGTAGGAAATTTTAGAGATTATAGTAAAATAAGATGTGTATTTAAGTAATTTTTCCTTTTTTTTCAATAGAAGCGAAAATAGCCATACCACCCGGCCCATACACCTACGTACCCTCCCATTCCTATTCTATATAATATTTATCTAGATTATATAAAATGTTTATGAGATAATAATATTATTTGATGCTTCTTTACTGAACAATGAAAAATAAATACAACTTTCATTTATTTTCCAGGAAAATATAATTTTAATATATATATATATATATATTCCGTGAAAAACATTTTCAACATGTAAACAACCTAAAAGGTGCTTGAACTTGCTGTCTTCCTAAGTTTGCGTGGAGGTGCAATTGATCCTTTTCCCATAACTTTGGGGATTAGTATTCAAGGCATTGATTCATCCACTTTCTAGTCCCTTCTATGGGGTTTCCTTAATATTATGTAGGATTTTTCATAGTCTTCACATTTTCAAAATAAAAGTTTTCAAGCGGAGGATTATCAGAAACAACTTCTTTACTTTCATAAAATAGGAACAAGATTACGTACATATCACTCCTTTTAAAATACCCTATATGTAAGATTACATTGGATATGTTATTATTTGAGTCGAGTGTCTGTTAGAAAATTTTCTACTTTCACAAGATAAAGGGGACAAGATTACGTACATGCATCACTCTTTTTAGAATATCGCATTTGCGAGATTACATTAGATATGTTATTATTTGAGTCGAGGATTTATTTGAAACAACATTTTTACTTTCACAAGGTATGAACAAGATTACATACACATCACTCTCTTTAGAATATCTCATTTATGAGATTACACTAGATATGCTATTATTTGAGTCGATTGTCTGTTAGAAACAACCTTTATACTTTCACAAGGTAAGAACAAGATTACATACACATCACTCTTTTTACAATAACTCATTTACGAGATTACACAAAATATGTCATTATTTGAGTCGAGGTCTATTGAAAACATTCTTTCTACTTTCACAAAGTAGAACAAGATTACACACAACACCCTTTTTAAAATATCTTATTTGTGAGATTACACTCATGAATATATTAGTATTATTATAAGTTTTTCGTTATTGTGTACATCATGATTAGGAGTGGCAAACGAACGAGTCAAGCCGAATATGAGTCGATCAAAAAACGAGTCAAATAAAAATGGGTAAGTTACTCGACTCGACTCACATTTTAAATGGGTAAAAACGAGTTACCCAATGAATAATATGGGTAGCCATGCATATTTACCCATATTATAAAAAAAAATCTTGTTAAAAGCTTTAAAAACAAAAAAAATTAATTTTTTTTTATCACTTCACTCCACCCCCTACCAGCCCCCCATATCCAAAAAAAATGTAAAAAAAATAAAATAAAATCCACCCCTAC